TCCTCCCCCCCCCGCCCCCCCCCCAAAAGAAATCCTCTATACCCCAAGTTATGAAACGGTTTTATTTCATTTTCTTTCTGCCTTTGGCTTTGACATGTTTTTTTTCCTCTTTCACTACAGCTGAAGATGCCTTCTTATCTGCCATTATAAATTACACAAATAGCTCAACAGTTCATTTTAAGCTGTCACCTACGTATGTTTTGTATATGACATGTCGGTATGTATTGTCAAGCCAGTACAGACCTGACATCACTCCTACTGAGCGTACTCACAAAGTCATTGCAATAGTCAACAAGATGGTGAACATGATGGAAGGAGTTATACAGGTGAGTTTCTCTGCAAAAACATGTCAAGGGAATTAAATACATCTTGTAGATTATCTAGTAACCTTCTTAGTCTTTTTCTTACTGTTTAACTAACTATTGTTAAGGGTCAGACCAATACCTGCATTGATTGCCCATATGAAGGTTTGCTTTTGTGTCAATGAATAACGTGAGTGGTAAGAAACTCTCTCCTGAGCAATGTGGAAGGTTAGGGAGGGGCTGTTGCTCTGAAGATGTGTTCTCTGACAAGAAGTTACTCTTCTGTTCTCTAGAAGGTAAGATCTTTGCAAGCATTTCTGGCTGTGAGCTCTTGTAAAACAAGTTGGATGTGCTTATTAAAGAGTATCGTATAGATAGCAGTTGTTTGCACTGATTGATGCTTGAAGTGAACATATTGAAAAGAAACATGACTTTTTAATTTTGATCCTGTTACTTTTACAACCTCTGTAACCACAAAAATGGTAATAAAACTGGACTTTTTGAACCAAGCTGACACACTTGCTTTATAGAGAGAAATATAAGTTCTCAAATGTTCTAACATCTTATATGTAGTCTGATGCTATTGCTATTACATGTGCAAGACTTCGACAGAAGCACAGGGGGAGTTCTGTTTTGTTTAGGAATGCAGGATAAGATCCACTGGGTTGTCTGTGAAATTAGACAATACCTTGCATTGTGTAACTGTTGATAAAACGTAATGGTCATTTCCTGAAAAAGGAGTGCTAGTTCAGGTATCCTCACTAACTAATTAATTATTGTAACTTCTTTGTCTGCAGGTTTTTCTCAGAGGAAAAATTGAAAAATATTTCTATATTTATTAAAACATACACGTTTGTTGCAAAAAGTACTGCCATAGTAGTCCGTATAGAGCAAGGACCCTGCTGCGCTAGGCACTGCACAAGCATAACAAACACATCAGTCCTGCTTTAGAGAATTTATGATGCAAGTGTTACACAACAGGTTGATGAAGGGAGAAGAGGAAAGTAAACAACAAGAGTGTGGCATGAAAGTCACAGCAAACCAAAACTGTTCAGCTTTTGTTCAGGTTTTGGAAAGATTTAGTGGAGTTTTCAGTAGGGAGAATGTTATAATTAGACAACTCTGTAAATAGTTACAACAGGCTCCCACCTTTCACAAGAAAGAATGGGAGAAAATGCCAGTGTTGAAGACACTTTGCAGTGTCTAAAACAAAGAAAACAAAGACTAGCCTTTCATGTACGTTCTGAAGCTGATCAGAGGTTGAAAGGTGGTTTGATGAATCTGAAGTGAAGAACTAGTACATTGCTTTGAGTCTTGATGCCATGCTAAATGGATATTTGATAAAATTGAAATGGTATCAAAAGTTAAATATTTAGGTTCTGCTATTAAAAAAAAAAAAGATCTGGCTGCGAAAGAGTGAATTTATTAAAGTCAGAGGGGAGACTGTGCAGTAGTGGAGAACATGAAATGCAAAGAGCCTGAACATAACCAATTTAGTTGGGAGAATGGAAAGTAAACAGTTAAAGGGTAGGCTTCAAATATAATCTGGAAGTTACAGTGCTGAATCAAAGTAAGTCACTAGGTTTATTTAACTAATGTAAACTAGTAATAATGACCCCAAAAAGACTTGGGGTGACAGGGATGGGTACAGTGGGAAAGCAAAGATAAAGTTCTGCATTCTTTGTGTTGAATTAAAATGGATAACCTTGTAGCTGCTAGAAGATACTAGAGAGGTGGGCTCAAACATCAGTTTGATTTGAAAACAAATCAAAGCTAAAAAATAGATTATCCTGTGAAAACATTCATTTACAGCACTGAGAAGGCTTCCCAAATCAAGTCCAGCCTTGTGGTTGTCGCAAGCGAGTATATTTTGTGTAATCCTGCTAATGGTATTACAAAACTGTTAAAACCAAGTGTTTGGACTTTCACTTTTGTGAAAGGCCATTTCTACACCCTTAATTGCAATAGTTCTACACTCCATAGTTGCAATCTAATCTCCAACCTAAAATTTAAGGAAGACATCGACAAGGAAGTGGTAGCTGCATTTGTGGTTTGTGAAAGATGTTATCTAGTTGCAAGAAATAAACTGAAGAGAGTTGGAGGTTGAAGAAAATTGGGAGGACGTTCTTCCATATGTCATGCTGAAGAAGCTGGAGGAAAGGGGCAAAACTACAAATGTGATGAAAGAGTAGAACTTCAGTGAATTTAAAGGTTAATGGGCTGGAGACAAAGAAATGCATTGATTCTAGAGCTTGAGCAGGAAAATGTCATTAGCTTGGACCTGTCTTAGTGGAATATAAACAGTACTAGCTAAGCTAAGTCAAATTACTTCATCTAAGCTGTAGAATGAGTGGTTATATTGATGGCTGTCACAGTTAAACTACCATGTAATAAGTTGCTGTATCGCAATAGCTTTTTTGTATGTCTAGACTGTAAAGCATGCCTGCACTGAAAGGGGTCTGAGGGTGTGAAAGACAGAGAAGACGGATGGGAGGCAAGGGGTGAGAGGCACCCAAAACACAAGAAGAGGGAAGGTGTACAAACTCATGTGCTGTACTGTGGGAGTAAGATAAATTGTTTAGATTCTAATTTTGCCTGCCTAGATCGTAAGGAGACTTGATAGCTTTCTGAAGTTACTCAAGAAGTACTTGCTAACAAATTAAGTCTGTGACTTTCTGTAGTCTTTGTATTAGTGTATGCAAATATTATAGAAAACTTCATATGAGATAGGGATAAAATTAGAGAGATCTATGAGAAGGTTCAGTGCTTTTAATAAAAATCTAAGAATAGAAACTTAATTCACATAAAAAAGGCAAATTTTTGTATCCTGGTTTTTGGTTTTTTTTCCCCCCGAATCATTCTGTGGCATTTCTGATCCTCTGCAAATTTTAACATTTGTTTGTAGAAAGAGCATCTCCTTTAGTTCTGTGCCAACGCATCTTCAGTCAGTTCAGAGTGCCTTGGTTGGAAAGGGGGAAGAAACAAAAAAGCAGTGGCAATTTGGTTTTTTGAGCTCTAACTAAAATTATAATAGTAACAGCAAATGACACCTCAAATTTTTGCATCTAAGCTCACTGTGTTGCAGGTGGGGGAGAGTGGTCTGAATAGAAAGCCAAAAAGAATTAAGTAAGAGCTCAGTTTTAAATAATCAGACACACATATCTGATGGGATTTTTTTGTTTGCTTAACTCAGTGTAGCTTTTATGTACCAGCATTTAAGCAGCTTAGTGTGGTATTTCATTTGACTCTTTTGTTGTTTAAAACAGTCTTTTTGTTCTTTAATTGAAAAGCCATGTATTAAATCTGTCCTCGGTGTTTTATGTTTTTTGTTTGGTTTTGTTTGGAATTTGTTTTTTTGTTTGGTTTTTGTTGTGTTCTGGTTTTTTTTTTTTTTTTCCCTGGTGGGGATTTTCTGTCCCCCTTTGTGTGTGTTTTTACATCGTCTTCACTGCAGCAGTGTGGGCAAATAGCTCCCTGGATCTGTTACTTGGATGGCTTAGTTACCCCGTTGCCTGCAAAAAGTTCTGCGGAATTTCTGTGGTGCACTGAGCGTGGAATATCCAACTAGTCTGGGATGTCAACTAGTACAGGGCATTCCTTGAATTAATTGTGACATGTGGGCACTTCAGTTCTTAGCTGTTGTGCTACTAGTCCTATTAAAATAATTCATTTTTTAAAAGGGGCTCAGTTGCATCGTAGCTACTGATTAATGCATCTGTGTATAACTGTGAACATAAGTGTTGTACCTTCATATTTAGTGTTTGATTTCTAAAGCTATCATGATTGTTCACAAGTTTCTTTCTTCTATTCTGTTTGATTTCCTTCGTCCGTTTTTCTCCAGGAGGTAGACCAGGTTGATCAGGTAGGATATATTGCTGGGAACTGATCCTAGCTATGTTGGCTTAGCTCAGTTTCTCATGCTGCTTCCATATCAAAATACAATACTCAAACAGCTGGACTTGAACGGTTCATAACACTCATTCAGCAACTGGAACATGCAGTACTAAAATCCTTTTTTGACTTTGCAACTTTTACGGCATTCCATAATTTCTGCTTAACGCACTTCAATGTGGATATGAAATGACCAAAGTTCTTTTTCTTCCCTTTATTTTCTTTTTTTGTTGTTTGTGGTTCCTATTCTTTGGATTTCATCTGAGGTTGCCTGGCCTGGCATTTGTGGTCGGGAGATGGTGAGATAGATCAGTACTTGATACTGAATCACCTGGTATCAAAGCCAGTGAGTGCAGTATCAGGGTGGCAGTGGGCAGTAGTGAATATGCGCTTAAAAGTGCACAGATTACCAGATACTGCATTGCGCTAAGCTCTTAGCACTATATAACTAGATGCTTATGCCGTGACTTCATTGATATGGCTATTGGCAGTTTAACAGAATTTCGTATGTTTAGTGAACGTGTTAAAATTGAACTTACCAGTTACAGCAATTGCAATATTACATACAAACATTTTGCAAATATCTGGTATCTGAGATATGTGTGGTGAAATGGGAAAAGGTACTGGTCTATCTTTTGGAGCCTTTTTAAGCTGCCGTGCTTTATCAGAAAACTATTTCCCTGTATTATTTCTTGCTTCTTTCTACTTACAGAAACAGAAGAATATTGCTGGGGCACTTGCCTTTTGGATGGCAAATGCATCTGAATTACTGAATTTCATAAAGCAAGACAGAGATCTTAGCCGAATTACTGTGGATGCACAAGATGTTTTGGCACACTTGGTTCAAATGGCATTCAAGTAAGGCTATCAAACTTCTGTTTCACTTAACATATTCTATGTATTTGAAGTCTATAACTTCAAATTTTTGCCAAATTTTAGGTACAGCAATAATGTCTTTTGTGTATTGTTAAAGATCTGAGAGGAGGACTTAAAAGAGAGGCTAGACTTACTTCTTTAGACAGATATTTTGTGTTATAAATATGGATCACTGGGCTATGCAAGGAGTTTCATCTGTTAGCTGTTCTTGTGATAGTTGAGGCTGCCAATGGAAATTTTAGGGAAACGTTATTTAAATTTAGTTTGTGTTGATTGCTTTCTTTTAAGGTTTTTATGGAGATGTGAGGAAGGGTTATTTTTGTTGTTAATATATAAATACAGACACATATTTATGGGTCTCTAATGAACCTTGCGCTCTTTAAGGGCTTCTAATTATATTCATAATCTACTTTCATAATTGGCATAAATAGCAATTTGCACAGTGGGTTTTTTGCACAGTTTTTTCTTAAAAACGTAGACAGGTTTTGGCTTGGGGTAAAATCAACCTATGCTAGTCAGCTCAGCCAATTACAATACTGATTAAAAGAAAAATTGAATGAAGTATCCAGTGGGATGGGAAGTCCTCTGAGGAAGGGATCCTCGAACAAAGATAACAACATTGAGTGAGCACAATGCTAATCAACAAGAAAGGCTTAATTTTTGTACATACTTAGATTTTTTTTTTCTTCCTCCCCCCAAGCCAGTATTGAACAAGTTTTTCTCAACAAACTTGTGTCTCTGAAACTAATGTATAGAGAAGTCCCAGTGTACCTTGGGTGACTTATACCCAGCCTTCCCCCTCTTGTAGGATGTCTGTTTTAAATATAGTCTTTTCATACGTCTGTAATAGCACAAAATATAATCTTTCTTCTTTTTATACCATGACAGGATTGGGAGACCTAACCATGGTTTAACTGTTTAGCTTTAAGGGGGGCTGTATTGCTCTGAAGAGCAATATGTAGTATGTGAATGTGGTATGTGAAACCTTATCATTGCTTTCTGAACTTTTGAAAGGTATCAGAGAAGCACCAAACCACTTTGTATGTACTCCCAACAGATTTTTTTTTCTTTTTGTTAGTGAATTATGAGAAAATAGGGTATAGCAAGTAGCTATTTGACAGTCTCAATTTTTATAGCACCTCTAAATTACTAACTGTTAATGAAGTTATGCTTTTTTGCCACAGGTCGGTGTTTTGGATTGGTGTTTTGAAACAACTCTTTGCTACTTCAATTTGCTAGATAGTCATTGAAGACAGAATATTTCTGTGGCTAGGAAGGAATGGCATTGTATTTTTCCCTATACATGATGAGCAGGCTGGATGTGAAAGGGTGTTTCTGAATTTTAGCTGTGTGTGAATTTTCCCCTAAGCATACTGTAACGTGGAAGATTTCAAATGGAAGTATTAAACTTTTGGAGAACAGAACTGTGGAATATATATTTAGAAGGCAAATAAAAAAGCACAGCAGAAGCATGAAAAGAAAGAAATCTGGTGTGAAAATGTTATTTGATGGTAACAACTGGTATACACCAGAATTGGTTGAAATTGTCATGGCTTTTGTTTTCTAGCAATTGAGGGTATTTCATTACAAATGTTACCAGTGAAACAGAAAGGGGAGTTGTAAAAAGCCATGAAATGTTTTCCGTTATATATGCGATTACAATTTGATTCCCTTTTAGTTTCAGTTCTTAACAGAAAATGTATAAATGATCAAAAAGAGTGTTAAAGAAAATGTTTCATTATTAGAAGAGAAAGAATACTAAAACAGGCTTTTAATTTCACTGTAGTTAAAGGTAAGAGAAATACAAGAATCAAACAGAACACAGGACCATTTCAGGATCTTGTGCATTGGCTCAGAATAGGAAATTTAATTTTTTTTTTTCTTAATACTACTCTTGGTAGATTTTAAAACCGAGAAAAGTGTATTTCTGTTTGGAAAAAACAGTTTTTGCAATCTTACAGAACCAAAGTTTGGCCTGACAGCCATCTCTTTAAGGAGCATATGACCTTCGCTTACAAGCATGGTAGCGATATTGCATTTAAGTGGCTGTGTTTGTTCCCTGACAACCTAATTCTTTTTCCAACATTTCTGGGAAAGGTATGGGAGAACTGGTCTCTCTCTGGCGTTTTAAAAAGTATTATTTGGTTCCCTATAGTCACATACATAACACTGCAATTTCAGGAATCTTGTAATTTGATAGATCTCTTTTCTTTAGAAGCATTCATGAACTCATACAGGATTTTAAAATTTCTTTTTTTTCCCCCTTCCCTTTCAGGTACCTGGTTCATTGTCTGCAATCAGAGCTTAATAACTACATGCCAGCGTTCCTTGATGATCCAGAGGAAAATAATCCTCAGAGGCCTAAAATAGGTTAGACTACTTGTGTCTTCTAAACCATACAATTAATTAGTAATAAATAGAATTGTTCTTAACAGTGATAAAACATTTACAAGTTGCTCTAACCCCTGAGAATGGTTTGGATCAATTTTGTATGGATGATAAGAAAAGATAGTAGTGACATTCAAATGATCTATATTTGGTTTAAAAATCATGAAGTAATTTCGTTTGGAGGGGGACCCTCTGGATGTCATCTAATCCAGTGTCTTGCTCAAGGCAGGTGCAACTGGGTCAGGTTGTTCAGAGTATTGTCCAGTTGAGTTTTGAATCTCCACTGAGGGGTGGAGATGCCACAACGTCTCTGAGTAACCTGTTCCAACGTTTGACCACCCTCATGGTGAAATACTTTTCCTATATCTAACTGGAATTTCCCATGTTGCAATTTTTGTGTTGGTTTGTCTTGTCTGTTGTTCTGTGCTATCACTGTGCACCTTTGAGAGGGACCTTGTTCTGAACCTCCCATTAGGTAGGTGAAGACAGCAATAAGCTGTGCCCTTAGCCTTCTCTTTCCCCAGGATGAACCAAATCCACTTCTCTGTCCCTCTTTTATGTCCTTTTCTCCAGCCGCCTAATCATCTTGGTGGCTCTCTGCTGAATTTGCTCCGTTAAATCGGTGTCTTCCTTGTGCTGGGGAGTCTAAAACTGGATGTTCTTCTCCAGATGCAGTCTCACAAATGCTGAATGCATAGGAGGGATTGCTTGCCTCCCTTCTGCTAGCTTCACTGCTACTAACTTAACAGCTTAGTATGCAACTGGCTACCTTTCAAGCAAGGGCATGCTGCTTAATCACATTCAACTTGATGTTTACCAGCATCTCTACATCATTTTCAGCAGTGCTGCTTTCCATCCAGATGGCACCCAACTTACACTGTTGCATAGACTTATTCCTTCCCAGATACAGGACTTGGCAATTGCCTTTGAACTTTATGAAGTCCCTGTCAGCCCATTTCTCCAGCCTACTGAGGCCCTTCTGAAAAATACTGCTGCCCTTCAGTGTGTCAATATTTCTTCCCAGCTTGGTATCGTCTGTGAATTTGCTGAGAACACACTCCATCCAATCACTCAGGTCACTAATAAAGTTATTAAACAGTATCAGTCCCAGCCTCAATCCATGAGGGAAGCCACTAATAGCTGACTGTCAGCTGGACTTGTATCCACAAATCCACCAAGTCCAGTGGTCCAGCCAATTCTCTACCTACATTATCTGCTTATCCAGTTCTTAGCTCAGCAATTTCACTATAAGGATGCTATGGGAGAATCTGACAAAGTACCTCCCAGGTACTAAGGTTAAGCTGACTGGGCTTGTAGATTCCCGCCAAGGATCCCTGCCACGATACTTTAAATATGATAGTGCTTCACAGCAATGTCAGCCTTCCTGGGCTGTTCCTGTCCATGAAAGCATTCTGGTCATCTGTGCTATTCCACTATGTCTGTAATCCTGGCTCAGTGACTGTGCTCAGACTTCTAACACTTCTTGTTGTTTTCCATGCTGAACACATTCACACACAGGCCCCTGAGATAGGACCCCCAGTTGTGCTATTCATGGGGAAAATGTGAGAGCCTCCTACATTATGTAGCCCGATGACTAAAGAAGAAAATGGAAAACGGATAAAAGGTTAGGAAGAGTTAAGAAGATAGTGACATTCTGAATAATTTAAGTAAAGATGATCTGCAGAGCTATTAAGGACAGTCATTCTGTTCAACTACAAAGAGTATTTATACAAAATTCATATATACTTCCTGGTCTTTTGGGTATTAAGCTTGCTGCAATTGCTTTTTTCCTGTGTTGAACATTGAAGGAAGAATATAAGAATGTACTGTTTTATTTTTAGTGCCCTGTACTGTAAGAGAGAACTTTCTGGGACACGAGCCCTGAAGAAGTAGCAAACTGACATTGGAATAAAGGCAGATGATGTTCATTACTTCAGTTATTTTTGAGCTGCTTTATAGATTTCTGTCTTACAACATACAGATAATGTTTTTCAGTCACAATCCTGTGTTTCAGTGCTAAGGAAATCAATTTGGTGGCCTCTTCAATAGAGATTTCAGATAAAAGTATTGCTTTAAAAGAAGGCTTGGAGATAAATGTTCTACTTGCATTAATATGTTCCACCAGGAAGCATATAAGGATGTTTCCTCTCGGTGAAGCTAACAGGAAGACCCTGTTGCTTCTTACATAATATTGCAGTGAACTAATGAGCAAAAGGAGATTTGAATAATATTTTAAAAAACTAATGTGTAAACAGGAGATGTGTTCTGCATTTTAAGTACATCATGCAATGCAAATAGTTTTTGCTGAAATTTTTGAATACAGTTTGATATTTAACTGCAAGGAGCTGTGAAATAATTGCAATATGCATTTGAAACAGTAGAATATAAAGGTTTTAACTTGGTATTAAAAATAACAGAAAAATGAGTTTACTCAAGTGAGGACATGATTTAAGTGTCAGATATAACCAGTGATATACTTGTGTACTAAATATTTCCCCAAAAGAATTTATTTTCATTTCAGGAGTTAAAAACGTATTTCAGCTATCAGTTTAACGGTGCTCCATCTGGAAAACCATGCAGCAGTAAATTTATTTCTGAAAGTCTGTATAACTTAAATACATGTAGGTTCCACCGAGCATTCACCAACCTGGGCTAGGGGTGTCTGTATTATTATTTATGACCTAAACCAGTTGTACATTGCAGTATATGAATGTGATTTATTTTTTGTTTTATCTCTGTAGATGATGTGTTGCATACGTTGACTGGAGCTATGTCCCTCTTGCGACGATGTAGAGTGAATGCTGCTCTGACTATACAGCTCTTCTCCCAGCTGTTTCATTTTATCAACATGTGGCTTTTTAACAGATTAGTTACAGCCCCAGATTCAGGGTTATGTTCACATTATTGGGGAGCTATCATTCGTCAACAGTTGGGCCATATCGAAGCCTGGGCAGAAAAACAGGGTTTAGAATTGGCTGCGGATTGCCACCTGAGCAGAATAGTGCAGGTGAGTATGTGAGATTAACACTTCTCACATAATTGTATATTCAGAGAGAATATTTGTATATTCTATGTTCCTAGAGAATAGCATGTGGACAAGTGTAGTTTGTGTGAATCAATCCTGGAACATTGAGGTAGCATGCAAAGACACAAAATATGTTTTCAACATCATTAATATTTAAGTTGCAAGTGAAATTAATAATTAGTTGTTTTAGCCAACATGCTGTTCAGTTTCTGTTTATAAAACTGAGCTATAACTATGCTGAACGGAGACAAGAAGAGTAGCTGGAAAATTGATATGCCTCACTTATGATAGCTTTAGTATTAATGCACCTTGTAGGTACAGGAGATATGGTTAGTGGTTGTTTTGTGAATATTTATTTTGCTTCTGTAACAAGTCTGGCTTCCTGCTTTTTCTTTTCCTCTCTCTTCTCTAAAGAAAACTCAAACAAGGCTTAAGGTTTCATTCTGGTTTGGATTTGTCTCCTTTTTCTTTTTTTCCTCCTAGGCAACCACATTGCTTACCATGGACAAATATTCAAATGCAGATGTTCCAAATATTAACAGTACTTGCTTTAAGCTGAATTCTCTGCAGCTACAAGCTTTGTTGCAGAATTATCACTGTGCTCCAGATGAACCACTCATCCCAACAGTAAGTCTCTTCTATCACTTACTGTGCTGTTTAACATACCTGAGGAATATAAACTTAAAGTAAAAACACTGGCTGAAAATAGCTACCTTATTGTTGATTGGTTTGGAATTGTTACGAGAAGAGTCAGAGTGGGCAATCTGCTCTCCATACAGTAAGAAGTATCGGTGGTATCAGCCTGCTTCTGGCCACCAACTGCAACTTGAGCAGGTATTACCAAACATCTCTCTCAGACCGAGTTGGAATGTAAGGTAACACTGCATGTTGAGCATACTCAGAGAGGTGTCACTGCACCTTACACCATTTGTGGATGAAATCCAGTAAGGTGGTAGCGGAGAGGTGCACAGAGCACTCTAAAAGCTAGTTCTATGTATAACCACAAGGAACAAAGATTGAAATTTTGCCTATAGAAATCAAATGAAAGAAGCAGGAACACTAAGGTTTTTTACATGTGGGATGTAAAAATCCATGAATCTTGAATCCCTTCATATAAGCAGCGGACAGATTGTCCTTTGGACAGATTGATACATGGAATATGTATGTAGAGATAGATACATACATATATGTGTTGTTTTCAGAACTGTTTTTTATCTTGGTGTTTAAGACATAACTGACTATTCTAAGTTTTATCCATGGGAAACATCTTTTTGGCAAAAGTCAAAAGAGGTTTTGTGTTCCTTGCAGAATTGTAATCATATGTGGATGAAAACTCTTAAGGTAAATCCTGATTACAGGATAGTTGACTGATCTCAAAAATCTTAAAAGGTGGAGATAATCTAATATTTATATAAATGAATGCATTGTCTACAAAGTCTATTTTTTAATAACTTTGGATACATCTGTTTATTAAATCAAAGGTACTAATACAATGGTTCTAAAGGTGTTAAGGGGGACTCGTAGCTTGGATATATTTTTATATATTGGCTACCAAACCAAAAAGTCTTTTGCTGAAGAACATAGCTTATATTTCCTGTTTACACATAGGTAGAATTCCACAGTTTATTATTATTGTTCTTTAGGGACCTCCAAAGAAATACAGTGCTAGATTTTACAGGTCATCTTTGTGTCAGAGGGAGGATTACAATATGGCTAGTTTGTCCTGTTGCAGTGAAGTGGTATTTGGGGCTGCTTTGCTCCTTGCTATGAAAAAGACTTGTACACTCAAACTCTGACTTACTGCTGCCGAATCTGAAAAATTTCAACGCTTAGAATTTGTTCTAAAGGAATATGAAATATTTACTTTTACATACTTTAGTTTGATGTAATTCTTTTAAAAATTAGCACCTTTTATAGTAAAAAGGCCCTTCTCAAAGAGCACTTCTAAAGACAGGCTGGATTTATCTGACTTCCCCCTGGAAATTTGCTGGAACTGAACATTCAGATGAGAACACTGCTTTTGTCTCAACTGTGTTCTGCATTGTGCTCCAGTAATAAAATTGTTGTATCAGGCTTACAGATTCTGAGTTGCACATTAGTGTAACTGGGGTGAAATTAAGACTAAACTGTTAAGCTGGTCTTGGGAGCCAAGTAGAAGCTGTAGAAAGAGACTGGAAATCACATCTGAATCTTTGGTAAAGCAAATACTTGTAGTAAAGGAATCTATATGTAATATTTGTAGCAGCTTCAGATAAATTAATTGTAGTAATTCTGTCTTGATGCCAGCAAAATCACACATCTCTGGGGTGAGTTCTCTTCCAGAAAGAATGCTGGTTAACTGGAGGTAAAGATAACTTTTAAGTATTGATGTTGCCTGCTTGTTCAAACGTAGTGATAAGTGAAACCTGGGGTGATTTCTTGGTTCCCAAGGCTCAGTGTGCAACTTGGAAGAGACTGAGTGCTCAGAGAATTACTACTTACATCTTTTTAAAAAGTTGCCTGTAACTTTTTTATTTCACTTAGCAACTGAATACTTTCAGGCTAAAACTTAGGCCAGCCTAAGGCATACAAGGTAACAGAAAAATGAAGGAACTGCTTGAGGGGAGAGAGAGAAGAGCCTTTTCATTGTGCACTCTTTTGCGTAATTTGGGATAAATAGAAGAATGTAGAAACACATTTACTTTTTGCGAAGTTGTTAGGAATTTGATTTTTGTTGACTTCTGAATTAATTTTCCTTGGTTCATACAGTCTAGTAACAGATATCTTACTGAAATCTTACAGATCTCTCTAAAATGTAGAAGGAAGGCTACTGTGTGCTACATGCAACCACAGTAGCTAGATTGTGAAAAGTACACTGGTTTCATAGAACTTTCTGTGATATTAAGCAGAACAGTTGTGCACCAAATGTAAAGCTTAAAAGTTCCTTGCTGCACCTTGAGTCATCCTGCTCTTGTGTTGTGTCCTTCTACAGTGTTATTTAAAAAATACGTATCTACCTTAAGGGATCTTTCACATTATACTGAGCTCCCAGGAAATGTAGAATTAAATTAGTTCCATAAAACTTCCAAACCAGGGAACTGTATATGCCACTGGTCCTCTGTGGGTATATGTGTCCTGATGGAGCTGAAAATCCTGATTTACACAAGTTGTCTGTTTCTTTTCTATGTATTTAGTCTTACAGAAGTACATATGCACTCAACAAAGTGTCAAAATTTTAAAGCTGCCTGTGATTCCACCTCTGCACATGCATGTTCTATGCTATATGTTTTTTAAATACAGCCCTCATATCAATTAAAAACATGCACCACAAGTTTTGAAAATATTGAAGTAAAAATAAATGCTTCTGTTATATTCTCTAACTACATAACCTATGGGATTTAATCAAATAAAGTAATGCAACGTATTGACTACATAGTGGAGCCGAAGAAGTTTTATATCTGATAATTTATTTTCCAAATTTCTTGTTCTTGCAGTCTTAGTATTTTCTTAATGTTAGGTTTTTTCCTTAATGAAAACTATCTCTTTATAGTAACAATGTCTTTCTGCCTTCTGTCCAGGAATTGATAGAGAATGTAGTAACTGTTGCAGAAAATACGGCTGATGAACTTGCTCGCAGTGATGGCCGAGAAGTCCAACTGGAAGAGGATCCTGACTTACAGCTACCTTTTCTTTTACCAGAAGATGGCTATTCCTGTGATGTTGTCAGAAATGTTCCAAGTGGTTTACAAGAATTTTTAGATCCACTCTGTCAGAGAGGTTAGTTCTTCTGTTGTTTTACAGTGATCTTTTTTTGGTGTAGTGAACACAGAATGCAAAATACATTTCAGTTAAATGCAAACCACTTTTTTTTTTATGTATGTTTCAATCTTTTTATACTGTGTTCTTGAAGTGTTTACTTTTGCAACCCATAAAAAGTATGCAGGATTTTTTAATCCTTACCCTTTCTCCTTGTCCCTTTCATTCACTTTCAAGGTTCTAAATAAGCGGCGCTGAGTTACTAGTGCCTGCTGAAACTTTGTTTTGCCTTTGCTCCTGAGCTTTTTTGGATTTTGGTGCTAGAGCAGCAAAAATGTACATAAATGTAAATTTTGTAATGCTTCAACAATTTCACAGTCAACTTACTCTTAACACTAATGTAAATTAAATAGTTAAGTCACTTTTTTTACTCATCAGCTGCTTCCATATAACATTAAAAAACCACAAGCTTAAAATAGTTCTTTTAATGTTCCTCAACGTAAGAGTGTATGGATTGGGCATTTGCAGTCCAACAAAATTTCAGATGATGAGTAGAGAGCTCTTGTAGTTGGACGAAAGTGACCTCAACTTCAGAAAGTAAAGCCAGGGGGTCTGTCAGAGCATTTACAGTGAATGAACAAGTTATGATCCTTATCTCGTGCTACTCAATTTTATTAGAAGCTTTTTTGTTACATAATTTCTTAATTTTCTGCTTGAAAAGCAGTTGTTTAAAAATTTCCACAGGAATATTATGGTAGGTAGGACAGCAAAGGAGGCTATCAACAAAGCAGATTTACTCTATCCTACAGTGAAGCTTTGCAATTGTTGGTTCCAATTTAGTTTATAGAAAAGCCATATTCTTGCATTTAAAAAAAAAAAATAGTAGGAAACTGACTGTTTCGAAAGTACAGTGAGTTACAGAGGATGTAGTCTTGAGACTAAACAAGACTAGTAGAATAAATCCTTTAATTAGTAAGTATAATTCATTTGCTATACAAATGTCTGTATAGTTATTACAAGTAAGGCCTTTTTAATGCATGCATTCAAAATTTTACTTTTTAGGTATCCCTTAAATTATGCTGAGGGACTGGTTTGCGGTAAATCAATGTAAACTGAATTGCTGAAAGATGGTCTTTGAGGAGGAGAATCTCATCTGTTTGGATGGAGTGATTTGTAATTGGACTGTGATGTGGATTCTCGCTGACCCTGATTTAGGAGACGATGTTGGATACTTCTCAGCTGCTGTGGCTCCTTTTTTCAAAATTCTAGGAATTGCTCAATTAACAAAAACAAATCAAACAAAAGCCCGCTTTTAATTGCATAGTTGCATTAAAAAAAGCAACGAGTCCAGGCAAAGCTTCACCTCTGCCAAATCTATGCTGAGACCAGTTAGCTAGACTCTCTGCAAAGCAGAAGATTTCTGTGGTGCTGTCTTATTCAGAGTTCTGGTGGCTTGTATTCTAAAAGATGACTTGGTGTTTCATGTCTTTTTTGAGTCTGGTTGGTACAAGCAATATTTTGCAGCCCAAGAGTTTTCTATGAGCGTGTAGTGTTTTTAAATACATATGTTTCTCTGAAGCAGCAGCTATAGAACTGTAGGATTTTGTCGATGCCATAAAATTGCAGTGAAGCATATAATGGCATCTAAGATGCAGGATTCAACATACTAATGAATATTAAAAGATAAATACTGCTATTTGGTATTTCCTTGTGGCAGGCTATTTGATTTTAATTAATCTATTAAGAAAATACCATGACTATGTTGATGTTACTTTCTCTTTTAGGATTTTGTAGACTAACACCTCATCCACGGTCACCAGGCACGTGGACAATATACTTTGAGGGTGCAGACTATGAAAGTCACCTGTCACATGAGAATGCTGAGTTAGTAAGTATTGATTCAGTGAATAATTGTCAAAACTGATATCTTGTTGTGTGTGTTTTATGTGATGAGTTTTAATCCTTATTAGGAAGAACAGGCTTAATCATTAAACATGTAGTTCACCAGTGATTTGGTGAATTTAAGGAACTATTTGCAGATTTTTGTAAGTCAGCATTTTTCTAGGCTGTGGCATGATAGAACTCGCATAAGCAAACTTTGTCTGTCGTGTTCCCCCACCCTGGGGGTAAACAGTGAACAAATTCCTTTTAAACACAGTCAAAAATATATATGGACATGCATCTGTAAATAACTTAAAATGTGAATGGAGGTGCAGGCTGCTTTTATTTATAAACTGGCAGTTACCAAGTAAATGTTTAGTATTAAGTTGTGATCTGGTACTTTTTTTTCTGCTAGGTTTTCAGGAAAAGTTCTTTAGTATAGCTTTGCATTATACTTATTAAAGAAGGGTTTCACTTCACTGTGAGGTGGCTTTTTTCTATTGTAGGCTTTTGTGGGTTTTTTTTTGGGGGGGGCGGGGGGGGTTTTTTTGCTTGTTTTGGTTGATTGGTTTTTTGAATATGCGATAACCAAGAATATCAAAGTTACGGAACAACTTGGTTTTGGAAAGATGGTGGCTTTATGTGAAACAATTTTTAGAGCAACTAAACAGAAATAGCTTCATATTTATAATTAGTATTTCAATGAAATCAAGGCGGCCAACATGAAACTAGAATTATTTTCTTCAAGCCTTCTATGAAAGATACTTGCCCCTCACTATTCAGAGGGACTTGAAAGCTTCATTTACTCTGTTCAGAACCTGACATTTGTTAGATGACTTTATGCAGTCTTGCTGCAGTGGCCTAAAGAACATGTTTACTTTACGGAAGAGAGCATCTCCTAAATCTGTATGACTGATACAGCAGAGCCCAGTCTTGAACTGATAAGCCCGGCTCTGTAGGCTTGGTATTTTGGTAAATGGGCATTTGACTGAGGAAAATATAGCAGAGACATTCTTGAGACATCATGCTCTTCCTCCTCCCTTTGTTACTCTAAGAAATGCATTTTTTAGAGCTAGTGGAAAGAAAAATAATCTGAAGTTATACTAGGTAGTTGCTGTTCCGCATACTAAGGAAAAGCTAAAGTAGAGTTCTGGCCAGTCTTCCTTAAAAAGGCTTGATAAAGAAATGCAGGATGATTGGATGCTACTATTTCATTCATCTGTGGAAATGAATACCATGTAAGACTGTTCAAATAACCCAATCTAATCATTCTTCTCTCTGGAGCATGTATGTTAATTGAATGTGCTAAGCTTCAGAGTTCTAAAAGTCTTTAGTCTTGGTGTCTGAGCAGTGCTCTAAATGCCGGTTCACAGATCACGTCTTGGTGCAACAAGTCTACATAATCTAAATGCTAGGTAAATGTTCCATTTTATAGCTGTGAGGTTTTTTGGGTTTTTTTTCCTTCTTCCTTCCTTTTTTTCCTCCCCTCCCCAAGCCAAAACTATTCTCACAATTCTGCTTCTGTTGGTAGTCTGGGGAGTTGCCCAGGCTAGGCACTCCTCAAATTTTCACTGAAGAATTTCTTTTATTCTTAGAGCAAGAGAGAAATTCAGTATAGACTAATGGCAAGGTTATGTTACTAGTGGCTTACCTTTTCCAGTGCGTATGTTTTTTGTTGAATTAGTTTAGTAATGTTTCTATTTAAATTAATGGAAAAAATCCTAAATAAAGTAGGAACAGATTCTGTTCTTCTGCCCTCCTTGGCACAGGACTGCTAGAAATCTCCTAGCTTACAAACTACTTGCTTTTCTAATACTTGAACTTAATCAAAAAGTGTTTGGTTTTTTTTTAAATTAATTTCCTTTGCTTATTTAAAAAGTGTTATGTTTTTTTTTTTTAATTAATTTCCTTTGCATATTTTTACTTTGTCATGGGTCTTGTGGAACTTGCAGTTAGCAGGTTTTAATATGGATACAAGCTAGAGTGCTTTAACTTATGTGCTTCAGCTGATGCAGACTGTGATGGCAACCTTTTGAGTAGAGAGAACTGGCAATGTTGCAAGGATATAAAAAAATTACTGGACATGTTTATGGGCTCGGGCTGTATTCAACTTAGAGTTTTCAGAAGTGAAAATTTTTGGAACTTTATTTCAAGGCTTTAACTCTGCCTTTGAAATTAATTGGCCTCTTAATATCTTTGCAGAACTATTATCTTCTAGATGTAGCACTAAAAACTGAGCTCCGTGTAGATCACCCTCACCTTTCTAATAGGGGCCTACTGAGTCTGAACTTCAGTTTTCATTAAAAGTTACTACGGTTTTATTTCAAATTGTGAATCATTAATAATCTCTTTACTGAATTAGAGAAGGAGAAACAATAGGTAGACTTCAAAGCTTCGGCAGTGTTCATAACACAGGTGTAGTACTTGATAATGTGAATCCATATTAATCAAATGTTAGCGATTCTACCTTTAAAATGGAGTACCAGACATATTATTTAGGGTGCGAGATCTTCTGCTGCACTAACAACTTAGTTTTGATTGTAGATGAACTATTTTGCGCAGTAATTTTCCTAGCCTGGCAGTGAATATGAACTCTTGTCTTTTTTCTTCTTTCCCCTTCCCTTTTTGATAGGCTCAGCCTTTGAGGAAAGAACCTGAAATTATCACTGTAACACTAAAAAAACAAAATGGAATGGGCCTGAGCATTGTTGCTGCCAAGGTATGGAAGTCAGTTTGTTTAAGTGTTTCTGAAAAAAGCTGGTTGCTTTTTTTTTTTTTCTTTATCAGCCTACTGTGGAAAATGTTAATGGAAAAATCTATTTCCCTTAAGTTTGTTGTGCTCATCATGTTGATCATACTTTTATTCTGGCTGGGGAATGTTTCCATAAAATACACAGATGTGACCAATACAAGATGAAACATAATATGGATGTAGTTATTATGACATTTAAGTTTAAACCTCTACTACAGGTTTATTCATTTTTCAGAGCCAAAAATTGGCAGTGTTATTAAATGGAATTAATAAACAGGCTTATTTAGCACTTCTGCTGAAAAGTAGTGGAAGTATCTAGGAAAAGAAAAGCAGTAAATATAAAGAACAAAATGTGTGGGTTTTTTTTTTTAATTTGATGAAAAAATAATTCAAATATATACAATAAAGTTTGTATACTTCCTGCTATAAAGACAACGCCTTATCTTTTGCACAGTGTACAGATGCATGTATGACTTCAGTTTTGCTTCTTCATAGTAGAGAGCTACAGCATATTAAGAGGCTTGGTGAAGGAGGGTGTACCTCTTGCCCTGACGGGCTGAAATTGTGGGTGTATGCTGCACTTAGTAGCACTAGATAGTAATGTATAGAATGCACATACAATTCCAGCCACCAGATGGAGGACTCCACTAGCTGGTTGATTTTGCTTTATTAACTGGGTCACATAGCAGACATAATCTTTGAGTTTTAAGCTTGTTATAAATTATTCAATGGTGATTTCCAAAAGTCCTTGTTGTAATTGTGGTGTACAACAGATAGAACAAGTCTTCCTCATGTCTTTTCACTGTGTAGTACATGAAACTTCAGAATGCTGTAGTCCTCCTTGGCACTTAGTACATGGGCTGAAAACATGATTGTTTTACTGCTTTTAAGTTACCTCACATAGTTAATTGCTTCTAAACAGCACTATTTTTTTTTTTCTACAACTTTGCTCATTTCATAGTCTGTTCTTGAAACAGTAATCTTGCACGGTATCAGCTTTTAAGATTTATTTCTGACATCTGTAGAGGAATACCAGGTGTAAGGTGTATGTTGCTAACAATCAGCAGTTATTGAGGAAACTATTCAGGATCTGAAAAATGTAACTCAGTATTCTGCTCTTATTTTGGTGGAATGGGTTAATAATCTGAGAAGAAAATACTAGATCTTGAGATATGCCAGATTAAATAAGTATCAGACTTCTGACTGCCATCTGCATTTCTGTCGAATGTTTCAAAATGTGCAGTGGGAATTTTTTTTTTTTCCACTTTAAACTGTGAAATCTGATTTCTCATGTAGAGAGAAGCAGGATATAATGAGGAAAAAGTTTCCCTTTTCACTGGAGCTGGCTGGCTTCTACAGGTTGTTTTAACAGCTGACACTTAACTTCCATTAGCAGTATGTAACAGTGCTACTGGTCAGTGTGTAAGCTTGACTGGAAAGTTTTTTACAAGTTATTTAACCAATTTCATTATTTCTTTAACACGTTCAGTGATGGAAGCAGCAGTCTTCATCTCAGCACAGCTGCAGAAACACTCACTGGTTCAGGCAGTAATTTGCATTTCATCTTGCTGCTGTGTGCCTGCCACAATATTGGAATTCTGATTTTAAAAAGGTTATGTCTTAAATCTTGATCTGAAATAAGCAAGAGGCAGATTTTTATTTTAGTTTCAGTGTACATAGAATAGAAACTTTTGCTTAATATGAAGTTAGCAGAATGTTCATTGGATAGAAAAAATCATCTCACATTAAGTGTTGAAACAAGATGCTGCAGTAGTTAAATAGAATTATTTTCAAGGGGTTATTTCAAGGGGTTCAAAGTTGCTTATTGTAAGTAATTAATAGCATGTTTTTCCCATAATAGGCTTCATAAAAACAACAGAGTAAGGAAGAATACACAGGCATTAATTTTCTCAATCTGGCCAGAGCAGAACAGATTAAAGAATTGAGTGAGTGTGACTGAGAAGCTAGCAATAGTGGGTGAATTTTTTCTTTCTATTCCTATCTTGTTAACCTTTACTAATATTTTTTCCAACATGTCTCAAGTCATGTATCTTTTACCAGCGTAAAAATTAAAATTCTCATTTTTTTTCCTTTGGCTGAGGAAAATGGAGGAAGAATCCAATAGACTACTTGTTAAAATTTTCTAAACATTAACTGGATAGAATACCTGAAATGAGAGGGAGAGGCAAGTGTGAGAATAGATTTAGGTTTTTCCAACTTCTTTATGGTAAAAGGTTGGCTATCAAATGCTCATATGAAAGTACCTTAGAGTTGAAGAAATGAAAGCTCATACTCAGTTTCAGAAATACACAGTTACTGCTGCCACGCACAGGATCCCAGTTTGATTGCTGACCCAATTACGTTTATTGAACTATTGGTTTCTAGAGTGCTTCAAAAGTGCTGTAATAAAAGAAGATGCAGTGGCTGTTCAACAGGTGGCCCTGCTCCAACCAGTGAAAGACAACCCTGAAACTATTCAGCTTTGGTTAGGAAAACAGTTGTGTTTTTCCTGTGGTGTGACAAAATAGTTGCTCTCAGTAACATGCTGTGAGAATGCCTTTGCATGTCAGTGCTGACCTGCCTTTTTTGTTAAGTCTTAATGGGCTCCTCGTACTTGTCACTGGCTTTGGATGAAGTTGGTTAAAATGTAGGTTGGTGATATTCTAGAGATGGATGAAATGGGCAGATGCTCAGAGATTGTAAAGAAAAATAATTCCTACTGGCTGCTTTTCTTCCTTCTACCCATTGCAAAAAATCTACGCTTTCCTAGTAATCTGTGCTCCCCTCTCAGGAAACGTCTAACAAATTCATCATTTGATAATTCTTTGAGTTTTTATTAGTTCACAGGGTTTTGTAGATAAAGAAAGTCTGTGCCAATTAAGAGTTTTTAATAGGGAAATTAGATACCATACCTTACATACCCCTTCCACACCAAATGTTCTGAATTACCAAGTGATTGTCATGCCTTCTCTGCTGCAGTTGAAAAAGATGAGTTGAAGCTAAGGTTATACAAGCAGAGAATTGACACATGCCTTCTGCTGCAATTGAAAAAGATGACTCGAGTTGAAGCTAAGGTTATACAAGCAGAGAATTGACACAACTCCCATTGAAATGCTGTACACCTGCTTATTCTTATGGTAGATGGTTTCAGTTTGTGATACTAGGTGATTGCAAACACATTGACATTAATGTCAAAACAAAACAAAACCAAAGGAGGTGAGTCAAGGAGTATATGAAAGCGTTAGGTCCCTGGGGAACCCTGTATTTGATCCTCTTTCCACCTAATGACAGGTAAAATGTTGAAGTGCTTTACTTCTAATGAAATAAAATACGAGTAGCTGTGAAATAGAAGTTTTACAGGCCTGCCAGCAGTGCCGGAGAGAGCAGAAATGCTGCGCATCACCTAGTTCACCTCACTTTGCTGTAAGGGTGTTTTCTGAGGCAGGACGGCCCCTTTGAGCAACCATGTAGTAAGCATGCATGCTACATGCAAACATACCAGAGAAAACAAGTTTAGTTACAAAACAACTGTTAGCTGCCAGAGCACTGCAAGCAGTGTTGTGTTTGTTTGGGGTTTGTTTTGGTTTTTTTAAGTTGGGAAAACACCTAACAGCATTTCTTGAACTGAATACTTTACACAGATTTTTATTTATATTTAAAGTTAAATTGTATAGCTTCAGATGTGATCCAAAAAGGTAACTTGTTGTTCTACCCTTTTGTAGGTGTTGCATGTTTTCTTACAGTAATACTCCTGTAGCTTTATTAGCAGTAGGTTTTGTAGTAGGTATATGGAAATGTAGTTGGTAGGAGTGGTCGGGCATCGGGAACAGTACTGCTTTTTGAGGTTGTGTGCAGAATTTGGTTGCTCTAACCCTGAAAGATGTTTTGATGTTAAAAGCTGCCTGACTCCCAACCACATTGCGGTTAAGTTTTTATGAAATCCAGATGATTTGGAAGCAGCGTGTGCATGCAGTTTACTTTAAAAATATATCGCTTTTTGGGGGCTTTCGCATGTGACTTCTTAGCCATCTGTGGGCCAGCACATTACTTCCTGTTTAATTTGGAGGTTTTTTGTCTCTTGTACAAAGGGTCTCCCTTTTTGTTTTTTCTAGCAGTTTTCAAAGTTTAATAAAGCCTCTAAAGTAAATGGAAGTCAGAACAGCATAACTGATTACGTAAGAGTCTGAATATTGTATTGGTTATGGCTGGTGTTGATAAACGCTACACTGTGTCATAGCATCCAGCTCCGAGTTATCTTGATGGGTATCTTGGAAAATCCAGCAGACTAGAGCAGTAGTTGCTGTTGAGGGCTGAAAGAGAAGTGGAGAATTGTTTTTTTTCTTTCAAGGATCTGTAGTCCCGGAGATCAAAATGTGGTTTTCTGTTGTTGGAAGAACAGAATCCATGGTAAGTCTGTTCAGGTTTCTGTTGGGACTGTTTTTCTCTGAAGTTTTAAATACTATCCCTGTACTTTTTCCTGCTCTCTTGCTTGTTTAAACCTGCCAGTAGTTACTTGTTCGTGTAGCAACAATGTAATACAGCATGCAGTTATAGTCAGATGTTAGTAGCTAACTTTCTAAAATCTAGAAAGAAAAAACTAATTTTTTAGCTTGTTCTTCATATGCAATTCTCAAATTTGTGGAAGTGACTATTAATATTTAAAGTTTCAGGTGTGATAACTACTGTTTTACTGTGGCAGAGCATGAATAGCATGACCTGTGATCTGTTTACTTGTCATATTAGTTGGCTTTAATCCAGGTTCCTCTAAAAGTCTCTTTTCCCCTTATAAAGTCTTAGTAGAATAATTAAAATTGACATCCCAAACAGTATATATGAGACTCTTAATACTCTGTAGACCCTTCTGAAAAGACCAGAACATGCAAATACGTTGCAGTTAGGATATCTTACGTTCAACACATTCACAGAGTAGAGCATTTAAATTCTCTTTAGATTGCTACTGCACAAAA